ACTTGACTGAATCATGTATTACTCGCCACCGAATGATATGCGGCAGTTGAAAACATAGTCATCATAAAAAGGAAAAAAAGCTTTGAATGATACCTATACGATCTTCTCTTATGTTTCATAAGCTTTTGTGGCCAACTAAAGAAACAAAAAAAACTTTTGTAGACAATATTGCCGAAGAATAAAGCTCAAAACGCTAATCTAAAAAATACCTTTCATACCTGCAAAGCTATTTCCTATAACAGGTTATCTTATATATAAAGCTGAATGTCTGTTTGTCTGTCTGTATGTATGTGTGTACGTATGTTCCGAATAGAAAATTCCATTTCTGAACCGATCCGGACCAAACTTGGCACACATACACTTCGGGCCCCGGCGGGTGTCATAGGCTACTTTTCATCATCGATCGATATCGATTTTATCGATTTTTATCGATTTTTTTGCTGAGTTCACCTACGGGGCTGGGAGTTGGCACAGGGGGGTAATCGAGCATGGGGATTCTGAATACAGTATTGGTTTTCGGGATTATCGATTACTTTTATCGATTTTATCGATTTTTTTTGCAAAGTTTGAGCTAGGGGGCTGGGAGTTGGCACAGGGGGGTAATCGAGCATGCTGATCATCCCCAAGGGGGGTGATCAGCATGCTCGATTACACCCCTGTGCAAACTCCCAGCCCCGCAGGTCAAACTTTACAAAAAAATCGATGAAATCGATAAAAGTAATGGACGATCTTGAAAACTAATATTGTATTCGTAATCTGCATGCTCGATTACCCCCTGTGCAAACTCCCAGCCCCGCAGGTCAAATTTTACAAAAAAAATCGATAAAATCGATAAAAGTAATGGACGATCCTGAAAACTAATATTGTATTCGAAATCCCCATGCTCACTTCCCCCTGTGCCAACTCCTAGCCCTGTAGGTGAACTCTGCAAAAAAATCGATAAAAAACGGTAAAATCGACATCGATCGATAACGAAAAGTGGACTGTGACACCCGCCGGGGCCCGAAGTGTATGTGTGCCAAGTTTGGTCCGGATACGGCGGAGCCGGGTAAGCCAGCTAGTAGTTTATAGTATTTGAAATAGAAGTGTGGCTCAGAAAGAAATTGACGACCCGTGAATAACAAAACGGCAGGGCATTACTCGGAAATGTTCAGACAGTATTAGGCCCGTATGCACGTACATCCCCGCGGGGAGGGGAGGGGATCTGAGAGGAGAAACGCTATATCTCGCTAGTTTATATATCTTTCTTCTTTTTTCTCTGTCTTGCCTTTGAAGGTTCTCATACATTGATACTTGCGCATAACGGATTCCAGGTTACTACCATTACAGATTAGATATTCAACTTTGTCTGATTCCCTGGGGATCCCCAGGGGATAACCTCACATTTTTAAAGTCATTTATCTTCTTTAAACTCAATGAAAATGCTCTAAAATTGCACTGAGGATGTACTACAGCACTGCTAAACATGTTTGCGGTAGAAATGAGTGAAATTTTAAAATATTAAAATCTTTGATGAACCGCTGCTCGCGAGCCAGGGATTATCGAAAAAATCGAAATCTTCAGATTCCATTTTTTCTGTCGAAAATATGCTCAGCAGTATCGTAGTATATCTTCAGTACATTTTGCAGCGTTTTCATTGAGTTTTCAGGAAGATAAATGACTTTGAAAATGTGAGGTGATCCCCTGGGGATCCCCAGGGGATCAGACGAAATAGTGATTATCTAATCTTGTATGGCAGTAACCTGGCATCCGTTATGCGCAAGTATCAGTGTATGAGAAACTTCATAAGCGAGATAGAGAAAGAAGAAGAAAGATATGTGGACTAGCGAGATATGACGCTTCCCCTCTCAGATCCCCTTCCCTCCCCGCGGGGATGTACGTGCATACGGGCCTTAGAATACCTTGCTTATCAGGAGGTTTGTTTAAGCCCACATGCTTCTATGTGGAAATTATCGCTATTTCGCTGCTTAATATGGGCGAAAACTTGGCATAAGAAAAGCTCATAATTTCTTTTAAAAATGCTTTGCAGATATGAAGGTATATTTGTGATCAGCGTTTTAAGCCTCACTCGTTGGTGTACATTGGCTTTCTTATTGCCACTTTGATCAAGCGGCATTCCCTTGTCAGTAATTTTATGGTTGCAACGAAGATTATGTACAAAAAATCTGATTAGTGGGAACATTTGTCCTTATGCAGCTCAACAAGAACAACATATCCTTGCGCATATTATCTTTTGGACATAAGCGAGGCCATGAACTCTGCAGTTTCCGAACTCAAGTCAAAATGGAATTGTGCAATTTCTAGCGATAATATCAAATGGAAAATGAGTAATATCGGAGTATAATGTGTGGATAAACAGAAGTTCTCAGACGCCGATGGGATACCTCCGGAGCAGAAGTGGCAGGGCTTTCCCCAGCGGAGGACTGCCACTTCGCGCTGCGGAGCCTGAGCCATTTCACGCATTTTGCTGCTCCGGGGCTCTTCCAAAAGTGGCGCACCTCCGGAGCAGAGATTTGCGCGTCCCGGAGAGGGGTCCCGTTCGTCCTGTTTGTGACGTCACCGTGAAGTCACAGTGAATGAATGAGACCCCTCTTCGCAACGCGCAGATCTCTGCTCCGGAGGTGCGCCACTTTTGGGAGAGCCCAGGAGCACAAAAATGCGTAAAATGGCAGGGCTCCGGAGCGCGAAGTGGCAGACTTGCGCCATATGCCCACCGGAGGTATCCCTTCGACTGTCTGAGTTTATAGCTTCGATTTTTTTCTGTTCCAGACCAGGACTCTCAAAGTTGGCATTAGGTTACCTAATCGAACTTGACACGAATTTTTATAGTTTTTAATCATTATTATTGCCCCTATAGCTCATACTTATTGTTAGTAGATTTGATGTCATACCGCTTCGCATGCATTACGAATAAGTCGTTTCTTCATCAATTAGGGATGAAATATTCTTCAAGAAATTTTTGCTTTACATGATTAAGTTTCTTTAATTATGCTTCGTAACTATATTAATGGCACTGACAAGAAAATAGTCAGAAGACGAAGTGGCCAATTCATACAAGCTGCATACCAATCAATGCAGCATAGAAAGTTGATTTCAAATCGTCTTCCGTACCTGTAGCGCGCCTTTGTAGGCGAAGTTATGCGAAAAAAATCGTCCACAAAAACTGCGAAATTGAATAGATCATTGCTCTTTTAGCTCACCTTTAGGTACGAGCCATATGAACTGACCTAGTTACATGTTTTGGTCCAACACTGAGCCGAGAATAGCTTTGTACGTCCAAGTTTGACCTTTACACGCACAGTTTCTTAGCAAAATAATGACTTTTAGTGGCTTATAGCTTCGCCCACAAAACTCTGCAGATACGAAAGACAGATTTAGAGTCAGCGTTTTATGCTGCAACTAACTGTATACAACTTGCTTGAGTTGGCCACTTCGATTTCTGACCATTCCCTTGTGAGCACATCTATGCAAGATTTTCTGAAGTTCTGTCCAGAGCCACGCGTCGCCTTTTCAACGTTTAAACGAAATCCTCATGACTTCACATAATCTCACGAAGGCCTCTTTGATAAAAAGCGAAGCATACGCCAAATGGCACAACCTGACGAAGATTCAGAATGCAGAAATCTGCTGAAATCATTTCAAAGAAAAGAACGACGTTGAAAATCTACTCTCAAGAATAAACTTTTCACCAGAGAAGTCGTCTATGTAAAAAATTGAAAGTTCATGTAAATTCGCAAAATCACACATTAGTTCAACGACCTTTATGCGATCAAAAGCGAGTTTTCTGGAAAATGTTATTATGTTGGATGGCGCGGGTCACCGACCTACCATCATTACTGGCGGAAAAGCAGAGGCCGATTCGACCTTTCAGCAGGGTATAAATACCAGTGGACAGAGGGGACCAGCCAGAACGTGAAGAGAGCGCTCCAGGTAGTTTAAAAGAGCCGTCAAGAGAGGCGGACCTCCCCCTTAAGCCCCGGGCAGACTTCACGCGACTTAATCGTCGCGATCTAATCGCCAAAATTTCCATTCATTTTCATTTCACATTCAAAAATTTTGGGCTAGAAAAGTATCACAACCGAATGCAAGTTGATCGGCATGGAATGATGTTGTTACAGTTGTCTCGTCGCGATTCAGTCGCGACGATCAAATCGTGTAAAGTCTGCCCGGGGCCTTCGATAGAGATAGCCTAGAGACCCTGCTGCGAGGGCGAATCGGTTGAAGCCTCGTTGCTGTACATAGCGTTTTGTTCGTGTTGTTTTAGTTTTGCGCCATAAGGATAAATTCTTGCACTCAAACCTGTGTTTCTCCATCGATGAAGTTCTACCGGGATTTGCCATTAGACATCTCCGTTACAATCACGTACTACGTAAATTTTCAAAGTTTTTACAGAACATTTTTGAGAAAGATATCATGTGCATTAGTCCAATTTTGGTATCATATGCTTGTCTTTACGCTGTAAGCAAGACATTTGCTGATTTTAGTTTTGCATTCGATTTGCTTTTAAGTGTATGCGTCGTTTAAGTGCCCCGTTACATGCCTGCTAGCCTGCCTGCTTATGATTTACAACGCCTTCTTGCTTCAACTCCAAAACAAATCCTGCGTGCATTCATGATTTTCACGCTGGCCCTGGTTCCGATACTGTACGACGTTCCCCTCGCGTTTCTCTCTCCCAAACGATATCCAACTTACTCAAGTGAAAAGTATAACGAAGCCAGAATGAGGTAGCACAAGGGCGTTTAGCATTTTCCTACTTCAAAGCTCCAAGAAGCTTAGAGGATCTGCATTGGCGCCTGTTTGAGAAGCTGGACATAGGCCTGCGATATACGCTGATGTTACCAAACTGCTGCTCTGGCTGAAACTCTCAAATTTCATTTATAAAAGGCAGCTAATGATCTCCGTGTAATAATCTGATGAAATAGCATTCCGTTCGTCGTCGTATCGAAGCTCCCAAGAATCTCTCCAACACGATTGTCACACACTGTCATAAGTTGTGAATTTTTTCACATTTCAGGATGAGGTGGGTTCTTATTGGCCTTCTGCTTCTCTTCAACCTTGGCACAGTGGTTAGTCTCTGCGAAGGAATAAATAGCAAGGATCCTCTTGTCAAAAAATTAGCAAATGAAGGATGCGACTCTTTTTGTAAAAAAACGGAGGTAAAAAATATCTCACATTTCTATCAGTGGTGGTCCCTTTTCGTGAGGAAAGGGGATGTGCTAAATTTTTCGCTCAAAGAAGAAGCACTATGGTACAAAGGCCTGAGCGAAGTTTACTTACATCAGATGTACCGTAACAGCAGTTTTTTTTGAGCAGTTTCTGGAATTTGAGTGTACTATGCAAACAGCTGCAGTTTCAACCCTGTTCTGATACAGAATTGCTTGATGAATTCAGCATCCTCGGAAGCCCGTTCTTGGGTAGCGCTGGTTTCAGCAATGACTTGACATGTTTTCAGTTTTGTTTTGTGAATTTATTACAATCACAAAAAAAATTAGAATCATATAAATTGACGTCAAGTGTCGGACTACCGTAACCCCGCAAAAAGAGCACGCACCTGGCCTATATGTAAAATAAGTAAAGCTAGCCCTTCAATTTCTCACATAGAAAACCACGAAAGAAATTGAGGCAAAAAGGAAACCCCAAGCCCCATAATTACCCCCTGCATTCTTCGCATACAAAAAATTCAAAAACAGCTTGGAGGAGACTCCTCAAAAAGGAAAAACATTGTTATAGCATGGCAGTGTTCTAAAACGATCACGGCAATTGATGGAAATCAAGATGTGACTTATTCTATAGTGAATTCCTGAAATGCTAGCTCAGAAACGTGATAGATACAGCGTTTATACGAGGAAGTTTGAATAACTAATTACGACTTTTCAGAACTTAGGCAGCTCTGGCCACTGCGAAAAAAAGAACATGTGCACCTGCTTTGTTCCAAGAAGTGCTTTGAAATAGGCTTGATCCAGCTATCTCAATGTTCTCTGCAGTAGTACTGTCTTCTTTGAGAAACGTAATAAACGAGAACTTCACAGTAAGTGTTTACATCGGCTTAGTCCACAGTGCTGCTTGTTCGTAAGCAATAAACTCATCCTCTTTTTAAGATCTGATGAGTTTCAAAGAAAGATATATACAGGGTGTCCCATTGAATGTGCGCACTGTTTTTGATTGTTAATAACTTTCTCGCTTTGGTGTCTTTCGCTGACCTTTAGTCACCATTCTTAGTTTCTTTTTCAGCGATTTGCAGTATAGGGCGAATCACCGATCGCTCTTCGTTACTGTAGAAAAACGGTTAGAACTTCCAGAATAGGAGATCGTGATTCAAGCCATTTGATGATTTTTTTTGAAAATTTGGGCGATCGTGTGCCAAGGCTTTCGCGCAACTACACAACTTTTTACGAGTATTTTCAGCTTTTTGACGGTGTAATAGCATTTCTGACAAATGCTGAAAATTCAACTGCTACGATTTTTGGAATAACTTAGAAAAGAGGCATCACAGTAAAGTGAAAATTTCATATTCAAAATCAGCAGCTTTTATTACCTTAGTAAAAGAGTTTTTGACATGATCATTTTTTTTCTGAGAACTACGTACCCATAGCCTGGAATCCTTGTCGAGGTTCCTACCGTAGTCCAACAGTAGTGAGGAGAGATTGATGATTTGCTTCCTAGTAAATCTAAGGTGAAGCCAGCACTACAATATGGTACCCTATTTTCAGGTGTATAAGCAGCACTTTTCCAAATTTTCCCACGAACTGCTCAGCCACTTCATTGTGTTTCGAGAAGCGATCCTCATGCCGCACGATTCTTTCAGGCAACAGCAGCACGCTGTAGGGTCCTTTGGTTGAGAGCAAGAGGTGCGATAGTGCGAGAATTTTCTCACCCCCCCCCCCTTTCACCCCCGAGCAGGGACTAAGGTGCCCTCACCAAAAGCAGAAAAAAATCAACAGTGAGGTAAGGTTAAGCAAAGGAGATATTCGTACGCGAATTGCTTATGTTAGGAAAGGACGAATCTGTTAAAAAAAGGGCTTGGTGAAGGGTGTAAGTAGTGATTTTTGGACATTTTCGAGTTTTTAACATAAAAAATTCGTAACTTCTGTAGATGAATATCTTTTACGGCGATATGGTCACCGTTAAAACCGCCTTGTGCTCCGCTTCCAAAAATATATAGCATGTCTGACCGTCCAAAAAATGTCTGGGTGAAGGGTGTCTTAGTGATTTCTAAAGATTTTCGAGTTTTTAACATAAAAAAATTCATAACTTTTGGAGATGAACATCTTGCACGCCGCGATGGCCACCATTGGAACCGTCTCTTTTTCAGCTTTCAGCGAATGTATACAATGTCTGGGGTCCATTAGAAAAAGTGCCGGGTGAAGAGTGAGTGAGACTTCTATAATGGGAGTGCTCAAGTAGACGTCTTTTCACAATGGTAAAAAAGCCTGTACTTGAGCACTCCCATTATAAAAGTCTCATCCACCCTTCACCCGGTACTTTTTCTAGTGGAACCTAAGTAAAGTTTATATTTTCGGAAAGCGGAGGATGAGGCGGTTCCAATGGTAGCCATCTCTGCGTACAAGATGTGGATCTACAGAAGTTATGAATTTTTTTATGTTAAAAACTGAAATCTCTAGAAATCATCAGGACACCCTTCACCCATGCACTTTTTTCAACGAACCCCATGCCATGTATATATTTTCTGAAAGCGAAGGATGAGGCGGTTCCAATGGTGACCGTCTAGGCGTACAAGATGTTTCCCTACAGAAGTTACGGATTTTTCTATCCTAAAAACTCGTAAATATCCGAAAATCACTACCCACACTCTTCACCAGGCACTTTTTCAACAGACTCCAGGCAAACTATATATGCTCTAAAAGCGGGACAAGGTAGTTTAAACATTTCTCTTGCTGACGTTGCTGTTCATTTACAGAAATTACGAACCTCCTTTTTTTGAAAAATTCGTATGAGTAAAAATTGTCTAACTTTTTTCCAAAACAAATCTTCTCGCATGCACATTCTCCATGGTGATTTCAAGAACAGGCAGAGTGATGTTTAAAAAAATGTAAAAAATGCAAGGTGCTGGTCAGAACCATAATTGTGCGCTAATCCAGCAGCACATCGGCTCAAATTTCAGAAAAAGACAACCAGTGATGGCAAGGAATTGAAAATCATAAACTTTGACTAGGAAAAATGATGAGAGAACACCATGGATCCCTCCTCCCCCCCGCGACATTTTATGATTTCTTGATCAACTGAAACACCCTTCACCCGGAGAGGCTACGACCGCTTGACCCCCTTCACCCTGGAGGGGTCATTCTCACCTTATCGCACCTATGGTTGAGAGGTCCTTTGATGCGTTCGGGCTGGTCGATGTAAGCGGACCACCCCGCGGCTTATACAGCTGAAAATAAGGTATCTAAAGGTCGGCGAAGACATCAAAGCGAGAATTGACGACCAAACAGTGAGCACATTTAATGGGACGCCCTGTATATGTTCAGCTCAAAATCAACTGGTTAGTTCTTTGCTATTGACGATAAAGAGTAAACAATTTATTAAATTATTTTGAAAAGAAGGCAAAGATTACACATCAACTATGGGACAGCTCAGCAAGCTCATATCCGGTTCGTCTTATTGTGCTCAGATTCAAGTCTGTGTTGAGAATCGCACGTGGAATCACTGCTGTCTAATGAACAACAGACACTGACCCCCTTTGTCAGTAACTCAGAACATAATTGCAGTACTATACGGGTTCCGGGAGAATATACTCAGCAAATTACATTAGCTAAACAGCCGTTTTGAGTCATCTTACATGAGTTTGACTTTTGCTGCTATACTTTCACCAAGGAATCAAAGCGGTTAGATGCCTTTGAGCTTCCGCACTTTCAGCTTAGGTTTCGCATACAAATCATAAGAATGTCACTTAAAGGAAAGCTCATTCCATCACACCAAACGTAGAGTAGTCTGATCTGGTGGTCTGCTACGTTGACATAGTGGTGGACGTACGCTATACAGTGTGTTGAAGTTGTGTCTACCCTTGGAATGTCATGTGCTGGCACGTTTTTCAGGTTTAAGAAAGACAATCTCCGCCAAAATGTAGGCTGTATTAATTGTTGGCTGTACTGACATTCTTGGAAATCTCAGCATCATACAACATATTTCACGATGTGCCGAAATTCAGAAATGGTCGAGGGTGGGATATCATGTGGTACGTTGTCAATGAGACAGAAAGTTTTTCACAGGACAGATCATTCACATTCTTTGTCGCTGTTTGGACAACCATATGTTCAAACTTTACTGTAAAAAGAAACTACATAAACAGCGGGCTTTTAAAGAGTGATCCGCAGATGCAACAGATCTACATGAAACTTCTAAGATTAGCTTTGAAAACAAAGAAGCATTTCATGTATACTTTAATTGAGAAATGTGTGGCTAAAGAATTGTATCGGAATTTTTTGCCCGATAGCCTCCGCAAAAAAGTGGCGAGCGAATCTGAAATCATTTGCGTGAGCCGCTCCAATGCCAATACACGATTGCGAAGAATAATCGACGAGCTGTTAGAAAGGAGGCATTCATTCAAAATTCATGTGTCGTCCACCAACGCCGTTCTTCAGATCAACAATATATGTTTATACTGATAATCATGCATTTAACTGCAAGTAACTATTGTTGGCGGTGAAACATATCGAGTGACGCCTGTCCTCCTTGCTCAGTTTAGGACCGCCTGCGATACCATTATGTCCTGGTGTCATGCGCACATTGTAGGCAATTGCACCAAGTTCAAAACCGATTATCATACAGAGCTAAGCAAGAACGGTAATCCAAATCGCATATAAGCCCAACATGCCTGCGATATCGTTTTCCATGCTTTACATAACAGAACCTTCTACTCCCTTCGAGTATTTCCCACTTCGCTATAATACATTGTGACAACAGTAATCGGGTGCCTAATCTCACGCCATCGCAGAAAAGAGGTTTGATAAGACTTCGAGAGCTATCAGCTACAAATATCAAAAGTTGAAGTCAAAGATAAGGAGGTAGATTCATAGCCATACCGAAACAACAGGAGATTGCCTATAGCGGCAACATATCCAAGACGAAATAACATATTGCACGTCTTCTGAAATAAAATTCACAAAGCAATATAAAGTTGAAGCGTGAACAGCAGCAACTCGCTAAGCAACGTATCCGACTTGAGATTGATTTACCACATTGTCCTGTACTGTAAATCCTTATAGAAACACATACTATCCGACCTACTCACGTACTTTAGACTACAGATTGGCCCGATTATGAGCAACGTCGGTGGTCTTACCCTCAGGATTGTGCTTTCTCAAGTCGATCTTATTACGTTTCGGACCGCAAAATCGCGCGCGGTAAGATCTCGTGCTATAACATGTGTAGCACGACGGACTTCAAGACCGAATGGTTTCTTTACTCTCGAATTAAGTTCATTAGTAATTTGTGCACTGCTCCTATGCTTTTCTCTTCCACTTGTTCATCATCTGGCGTCATGCTCCGACATTTTATAATAAAAGCGGGAGCTGTATGACAACCCGAAATCAGGACCCCAAAGTTCAGAAGTCGTGGATTTTTCTGAAACTTGGTGCATGGGGGTTATTTAACATGGTGATCACAAATATCACAGTTTATAGCAAAAAACGCTTGTGGTTAAGGTGGTATAGGGCATGAGTCAAAGTCTCAGATTTGCTCAGAATTTCATCATAGAGCTTCCTCAGCTTCCTCAGCGTGCAGTATCGGTCGGAATTTCCGACCGATACTGCACGCTGAGGAAGTTCTATGATGAAGTTTTGAGCAAATCCGAAACTCCGTAACACGTTTCGGACTCCGAAACGTGTTAACAAAGTCACTTCGCTTTGTACGAATGTCCTGAACTCAGATGCTTTACAAGCTGTTTCGGAATTATTGTCCAAAAAAAGCAACAGTACAATTTTGCGGATTTAGGATTCAACAAGTCATGGCATTGCTTGAAGAACATTAAGAATCTTCGAGTTTTGAATGGTCAGC